ACAGCGCGCTTTTGACTCGACAACGAGCGCTGGCCACAGCTTTGCCGTTGGCAAAGCGCGTTTATTTTGGTGGCGATGGCCAAAAGCTCCAAAAAATTGACTGGCAATGCGACGAAGCCAATCACTGACTTTTTTAAACCCAAGTCTTTGTCTCAGTCATCCTCCCTGGCCACAGTTGCTTCCAACTCAACTGGACCTTCCTCAGAAGCAACCGTCAGTTCTATAGCATCCTCTCAGACCGTCTTATCTCAGTCTAGTTCCTCAACACACCCGACTCGCGTCACTCACATGCAGGTGAAGCTACAAAGTCACGTATCTGAAGACACCACTTCTCTTCGGAAAGGCTTACCGTCCCCTACGAAGCCTATGGTTCAAACGGTCGGCTCGTCAACCTCTTCTTTGAAACGTTCCCGTTCCCCGGACACGCAACCCCCAGGACTGAGCCCACTTCCATTGAGGCGTTTTCAAAAACCACTTCCTGAGCCATGTAATTCGCCCGCAAGGCGCAAGGCAAAATTTGACACAGATTCTGAACGAGAGCAGGATTCGGTAGTTCACGTCAAACGGATGGTACGTTCATTAGGGGTCCTCCTTGGATCGTTTTTCTGACACAGCGTCCCCATCAGCAAACCCCTCAATCTAAGAAGCGTCGCATTTCTTCACCCGGACCTTCCTCCCTTCATAGCTCAAGTAGCCTTGTCCCCAGCAGCCAATCCGATGAAGAAGAGCTGGCGCCTTCACGGTCCAAGGCTCGGAGCACAGATGTCAAGGCGGTCGACCATTGGAGGAAAGAGACCCTTCCCCATTCTCCGGACGTCGACAGCGACGACGATCGTGCTGCACAGACGGAAATCGACCCCTTACTCTCTTCGTCCCCCCTAACTTCTAGATTCACCTCACCGTTGACGGAGCCTGAGCATGACACCAACCTTCAGCGCCCAACGCCTGCTTCCCCTTTCAGCCCCGGTTTCGGTCACATCCCCACACCTCCATATACCGACCGTCATTCAAATGATGCCCCTATGCCGCCTTCGCCTATTGCTCTTGATCCCGCAACGAAGGCCGCTCAAATCATTGCGGATATCAAGGCCAGGGCCTACGCGGCGACGCTATTAAGCCCCGAAAGTACTCCCTCTCTTGAGTTCAAGGATGAATTATCGGATAGTAGCGACGATGAGATGCTTCCGTTTGTCCCTGTGCCAGCGAAGGAAAAAAGGTACTCATCCCGCCATCCATCTTGTTACGTTTGCTGACGCCATTGCAGTAAGACAAAACCCAGTGTTGATAATGTCGATTCAACAATCATGACACGTCCCACTCGATATCCACTCCGAGATCGCACCTCCTCGCCAGCCATTGGAGAAGGGGAATCACTTGAACAAAGCTCACGGGGATTGCGCACCATGCCCGCTGTATTTTTCAATGGAGCTCACAAGAAAGGGAAAGGAGCAGCCAAAAAGAAGCCTGCTTTCAACCCACTTGATAATTTTTTAAAGGAAAAAAGGCAAGCAGAGAAGGGCGGTAAAGGAGCTGAGGCCTTCCGTTGTGCTGAGAGCTTGGCCAGCATGCAGGGGAAAAATAATTTATTCGACGAAATGGCCGATGAGCAAGCTGAGAGCGCAGCCTTTCAGGCTGTGAAAGAACGTGATCAATGGCTCAACACCCCATTGAGCCCCGATAATAGCTTCACTTCCCTCGGTGCTATAACCCTGGTTGAAGAGGATAGGCGAAGACTATTCGGCGACAACGGCGGGAAGGCGATTATAGGTATTTTGGAAAGTGATAGGGTCTTGAAGGATCAAGAACGCGCCCACAAAAAGTTCAAGGGAGTACCGTTTTGGACAACGCAAGACTCAGTGGGCATGCTAGTTGATGAAACCTTTCCGACTTTCCAGTATGAAGGAAAAGATAGCATACTTCAGCTCTTTAAGTCTGCACTTGATCGTGGAGGTGCATAATTTCATCACCTCTCACTGAATTGTTGGCTAATTTTCTCATCCCTTTTACAAGACCTCGCACAAGCTTCACTCTTGCTTGACACCGGCTTTTTATTCAGCAGTAAAGTTGTGACGCAACCTCAAGTAACTACTTATCTGTGCAATCTTGGCAAGTGTCTCCTCCGTTGGTTTATGCTACGTTTTGACATCAGGGTACATCAGCCCTTTCTACGAGTGATGCACCAATCCATGCAGCGGCGTTCCGTGCTCTGTTACGGTTATATTCTTCAAAACCAAATCCCCCTTGTGGGGTCACACTCTCTTGCATNTTAGGCGCTCTCCATCGCTTAGGAGCCGTGTCCTCCCCGATGTCTTCTATAGGATGGGCAACGGAGTCTTCCGTACACCCACCATCGATCGATTCAACAAGTCGCGAGGGAGCGCTGTATCGTTTGGTAGAGCTAGTAGCTTCGTGTGCACGGTATGTTGATTCCTCATTGGCTACGACCTGAATTTCAACTGTCTGCTTTTCCAGATCTCAACAGCTACTCGTGGAAGACATTCCAGACCTGGTAGCAGCGTTGTTACTAATCGCTACTGACCCTTCAACCTCTCTGCCGCTACAACGAGATATCACAACAGTGATAAACCAAATTTGCAACAGCATTGGCCCTGAGGGCGAGGTGTTCTCCGAGATTGTGAGCTAGAAAACACTCTTTCGAATATGAACTGAATTGTTGGTTTGTAGGAAGCTCGCATTTGTTCAAAGGTGTTAAATTGCATTTCAACGTGTCAGCCCATAAACAAAGCATACCTGCTTTCCTTTTTGGCTGCCGGCACAGGTCGCTCCTTGCGAATTGCCCGGTACGCAGCCTTTTCCATTGTCACCGAGCAGGCAACCGTCACCCCAGTAAGTCCTTGAACTCAGATTTCTGAATTTTACCCTAATAAGTTTAAAGGCGCAGTATTCCGATCTACCTCCCATTTCTGAAATCCTCAATGCTCTCTTGCTCACGAGCTCGGACCAGTCAGGCATTTTCGATCTCCACGACGAGACTGATTACGTCAACCTGGGATTCAACGTCTACATTTTGAGTGTTGCCCTCTCGAACGTGAAGGGTTGGGCGCTTGAGGAGCGCGAGGAGTCGAGATCAAAGCCCCTTGGTCGTCATAGTCCAAACAAATTGGGCTCGGGAGAAGACAAACCCAAAACACCATTGCAGGTCCTCTGCCAGGCTCTTGAGAGCCTGCATTCGGGCATCAGTAAGTGAATCTGTTAAGTACGAGATAACCAAGAGGCTGATGGAACATCTTGCAGGTGATACCCGCGCTGCACACCTGGACCGCTCTCGGACCAAGGCAGCTGTTAAGGCCTTGTCTGTGCGGATATATTACCAACGTGATGCCTGGATAAAAGGCAACACAAACAGCAATGGTAAACCCAGGATGAACCTTCGTCAATACTTTCCTACAAAAAGCTAGAGTAGCCTTGCTTTCTTTGAATAACGAAATTGTTTGCTTTCTTCTTACACTAATATTATGTTATCCTAGTTTGCTTCGTACCCCTTAAATTACACATTCTTAAATCTTTATCTCAAATGAACTGGGATACTTATGTAAGCACTATGATCTGCAAAGCCACAACGTTCTCTAACAGCAAGCCTTACATATTGCAAATATCTGTAAAAGGTCCGTGACGAGTAAGCCCGAGGAACGAGTGCACGACCCTAAGATAACGCCTTGCGTCAGAACGAGGAGACCCACCTCGTTGTTTGTACCTGATTGGCAATGGTACATATTATTGACAGGCAAGGTGACGTCACAGTTAGATCCCTCCTTTCTTTCTCCAACATACACCTCTATCATCCTATTCAACAGTTGTGTCAAGACGACCGTAACACAACAACTCTTTTATCGCGACCTTCTCATTCCACTGCAGTCATCTACCACACGAGGAGACTTGGCGCGCATCGCCCTCACGATGGAGGACCTTTCAATGTTTCCAGCACAACATCTCACTTTGCTATCGCCCTCGCCCAGCAAAAAGAATGATCTCGCCCAAACGAAGGACACCATTGCCTTTGACTGTGCAAGCCTACCAGGCGATTCGCTGGCGATGTTCACGAAACTCAGCAACCAGTTCAACGAGCTTCAAACGCAACTGCAACAAGAAAGACACGAACGCCTGGCGGAACAACAAAAACTAAACGAAGAACAACAAAAACTCAAGGCGCGGATCTCAACACTTGAACCTATCACCCGACGAATCCTCACAGACGCTTACCTCTCTGTTAGAGGCTATCGGTTTTCCTTGGGTTCCCGCGCAAAGTGGATCCACGAAAACATCGCCGGGCTTCTACCTCATGATACCGGGACCACTGAACCTGAGTTCGAGCTAAAGTTAGAGTAAGTGAACATCAATACTTATTTGTTGCTGTCAGCTGACATGTCAAAACAGGAAGTGGTGCCAACATGGGGATGCAGGCGCCCACTCGACGCAAACCCTCGCCATTGCGCTTTCTTTGGACGATCTAGCGTCCCCAGACGAGGACTTTGAGTGCATGTTCTCGCAATGCTTCGGTCACGGCCTTGGAGAAGAATTGGAAGGCAGGATATCATCAACTTTGGTGGAAATTGGAAAAGACGGCGTAGCCAACCTCCAGAAGACACAGTCCCCTGTTCCCTAAGAGCCCAGTACATGTACTTCTAGACCCTATTACCTCAACACCTCTTTTCTGAATTCAAAGCGAATTTCAACCAGAATCTTGACATCTAGCATTTGGAGAGGCTAAGACAGGTTGTCACGAACCTCGAAGGTTTAGCGATCCAATCATCTGCCTCGCGTCATTCAGATGCAGGAGAAGTCGCATCACCGCTTCTCTTCGGAGTCTTACGGTCGCCTACGAAGCCTATGGTTCAAACGTTGTCAAGCTCCTCTTTAATACGTTCCCGCTCCCTGGACACGCAACCCCCAGGAGTGAGCTCACTTCCATTGAGGCGTATTCAAAACCACTTCCTGAGCCATGTCATTCGCCAGCAAGGCGCCATGCAGAATTTGACACAGATTCCGACCGAGAGCGGTACGTTCAAGCAGGGGTCCTCCTTGAATCCTTTTTCTGACACATGCGTGGTCTTTCCCTTCAGCAAACCCCTCAATTGAAGAAGCGTCGCATTTATTCACCCGGACTTTCCTCCCTTCATAGCTCAAGTAGTCTTGTTCCCAGCAGCCAATCCGATGAAGAAGAGCGGGCGCCTTCACGGTCCAAGGCTCAAAGCATGGACGTCAAGGGTGTCGACCATCGGAGGAAGGAGACGCTTCCCCCTTCTCCGGACGTCGACAACGACGACGATCCTGCTGCACAGATGGAAATCGACCCCTTACTCTCTTCGTCACCCCTTTCACCCCATGGCACCAAGCTTCAGCGCCCATGCTTCCCCTTTCAGCCTCGGTTTCGGTCACATCCGCACGCCTCCACATACCGACCGTCATTCAAATGATGCCACTATGGCACTCCTCTTGATCCCGCAACGAAAGCCTCTCAAATCATTTCGGATATCAAGACCAGGGCCTAGGCGGCGACGCTATCAAGCCCCGAAACTTCTCCCTCTCTCGAGTTCAAGGATCAACTAGCGGATAGTAACGACGATGAGATGCTTCCCTCCGTTCCTATGCCAGCGAAGGGTAAAAGGTGGTCATCCCGCTATCCATCTTGTTAAGTTTGCTGACGCCATTGTAGTAAGACAAAACAAGTGATAATGTCGATTCAACGATCATGACACGTCCCACTTGATATCCACTCCGATATTGCACCTCCTCACCAGCCATTGGAATAGGGGAATCACTTGAACAAAGCTCACGGGGATTGCGCACCATGCCCGCTGTAAATCTCAATGGAGCTCACAAGAAAGGAAAAGGAGCAGTCAAAAAGAAGCCTGCTTTCAACCCACTCGATAATTTCTTGAAGGAAAAA